AGCAGGACCTACGCTCTCAAACAAACAATCGGGCTCAACACTGTCGAAGAGGCCAAAAACGATCAGTGTTGAGCCCGATCAGAAAAAAAGAGGCCAAAAACGATCGGGCTCAACACTGTCGAAGAGGCCAACAGCACTAAAGTTTTTCTGTTAGGTCAACTCAGACTTAAACTCGTCATTAGATTTAGACCATTGAGACAACGTCTTGGAAAAAACTCTGGGGTGAATTCTAATTCTTAGTTATTTAGATGTGAAAGTTTTTTAGATCATTCAAGACGAAACACCACTTGCGATCAATCAAATTTGGATTCCACTTCATCAACTCCGGTTACGAGCGAGAACCCAAATGCTATAGAGAGTTCTCCCGATAAGTCAACCGAACCAGTCCTTGACACCCTTTCATGCAGCACGTCCCGTCCAAGAAGGAACCCAGGACCTCTAAAGTTCTATGGAGAGAGGCGCTTCATCCAGCAACTGTTACCCTTGGCTGCGGCTATAGAAGTTGTAGACCTAGAAGAGGACCCGTTGATTGTATTCATTTCAACCAACGGATGCCAAGCCACCAACACCTTCGAGCCCCCCTCAGCATTCTTGACAACATTGGCGGACATTCAAGTGAGACCAAACTTATTGGCCGAGACAACACAAGGATCCCTCTCAACCACATCTTCGCTGTACCCAAAACTAGTGCTTTTAAGTTCACCTGCTCAAGAGCTCCATTTGGGGGATGAAGACGACGTAGAGAGTGATATTTCTTCAGCAATAGACACGGAAATCAGAGTAGAAGCAGATAACTTTCACCAAAATTTTAACTCAGCGGATTAAAACTCTCACAACTTACTAATAATGATCTTCTACCGTTTCTTTTTACCATTGGCTTATCCACATTCTTTCGTTATATCATAATATTATCACTTACTCACTCTTAGAAGACATTAATTGTTGTATATCTGTATCGAACTGCATGTAGCCTGTGTATTGCATCTCATATTCATCTCATTTGTATATTCTCTTGTAAGTTCCATGGTGCTGTAAATTCATTTTTTTTTCAATTTTCGGATCCCGTGGGGTGAAGGGAGAGTGAAGTATTAGTATGAGACCAAACTAACCAATGGATAGGCGCACAATTTGGTTTCTGTATGTTCCTGGATTCCATAGACAAACCTCTAAACTTGTTCCAAAATGTCAGTGGATTCCACTTACACAATTTCCGTGGATTCCGCGTACAAATACCTGTAACGTAAATTTTGTCGGCACATTTGTTGTGCCGCAAAATCCGCAACCAGTGAATATAGTTAGTTGTTCTGGATTCCGCAACTTTAAGTGAATTCCATTAAAAGTGAGTTTAATCCGCAAATGTAAGTGCAAACAGCAAAGTTTTTAAAGGGAACCCGCAAATGTCAGCAGACTCCGCAAACTGTAAGTAGATTCATATGAAAAATTGAAAGCTAGAACTGGAATTCTGATCTACAGCAATGCGGAATTTAATGGCAAGGACATTACCATTGTCAGCGGAATCCACAAACAAATCTCAAAACATTTATTAACTCAATCTGTGGATGTCAGCTATTAGTTTACTGGAATCACAACACCGAATAAGTTCAATTTTTGGAGTCAGTGTATGGAAACACAACACACAACATATTGCCAGTTTAGGTCAGTTTTGGGATTGTGTCAATCCCAAATAGTGATTTTGGAAGCTTAATGCCGAACAAATTAAAGATTTTGTAGTCCATGGCTTGAGAATGTTTGGAAACACAACGCACAGCATATCGCCAATTTAGGTCAGTATGTGGGATTGCATCAGTATTTGGGATCGAAGTTCAGATCGAAGTAGGTCAGTATATGGGATCGATAGGTCAATATTTGGGATCGAAGCTCAGTAGGTCAGTGTTTGGGATCGAAATTGAGATCGAAGTTGACAGGATTTGAGAAGTTGGGTTGACAGGAACTGAGACCAAACGTTTCAACTGGTAGTTGATCAATGTAGTGATTTAGATTGAGTTTTTTTGTTGACAAGTAATTAAAAGATATAATTTTAATCGCTATAGTACACATATACATATATGTAAACAGAATCCGCAAACAAAATGCGGATTCCACTTACAGTTTGCGGATTCCACTTACACGTTGCGTTCTCCGCTTACAGTTACGGAATCCGCAACAGCTCAACTTAACTATATAAATGTCTTATGATTTGATTGTGAATTCCACAAACTGTTCTGGATTCTGCAAGTACGGCTGCGGATTCCGCAAAATTGCCTAGTTTTGGATAGATTTCGAGCGGTACAGTGTTTTAGGTATTGGTTTGTGGAATCCAAAACAGCGAAGAAGATCAAAAAAAGTAGCAAAATGGCAAATATGATTTTGGCCTGCTGCCGAATCCAAGTACAATGCACAGAATGCACAGTTTGGCCTCGTAATGATGTGTGTGATTTTGGCTAGTTAGTAAAAGTGCAGTTATAAGTTTCAAACTGTGGGGAACGTTGTGATTGTGTGTTTTACTTTATTAACCTTGACCTCTAGCAACTAATTAGATTCCATTCAAATGGGCCTTAAACGAAATTCATTGGACTCCGCGTCACGATTGTTCTCTTTAGACATCAGTCAGTTTTAATTCAATACAATTACTTTTATTCTTGTACCCTAGCCTAGTTAATTTTCGTAAGCCAGCGGTATTTGAACACTTCTTAATATTCTCTGCATAGAATCAGACAGACATATGTGGGAGCAATCAACAATCTTCAGCAATTGACTGGAAAAGAACTCAGAGTCAAGAAAGAATAATGTCACTCAGCTGAAAACCAAAGCCTGAGAAACCTTCTTCGAACCTCATTAGAGATAGAATTTCCACAACTTTCTGGGGCCACAAGGTGCCCAAAACAAGAGTAAGAAATCGCATAAAAGGTTTTGCTCTTTGTTGCTGAAAAAAACCATTAGTTCTATGTTTCAGCCATAATGCATTAAGCAGTCCTCAACGGCTATCAATCTTTGCTGCGTTGGTAAAAAAGTTCAGAGGTTAATGTCTGTTTATGATAAGCTAGAATCATTTGTAGAATCGCTAATTTGTTACCGAATGTTTATTGTTTAGCTCTTTTCGATTTTCCACACACACTGCAAGTTTTCAATTTTCTTAGTTATTTTACATGAATGAATGAGTGATGATAATTTGTGAAATTCAAAGAACAAATCAGTTCGAGATAGTTAGTTTGATGACCATGCCAATTTTGCTTGTATTATGACAACGTCAAATTGCTTTTACAAAATCGAAACTCAATTCTCCAAATTTGTATTTGAGGTTTGAAAAATTATTTCAACGTAACCATAAATTTAAAAAAAAGTTGACATGGTGAAAAAACAACTACTGTGTACAGATTTTTTCTTCATATTTTAGGAGTGGAAAACATTCTTTTGTTTTCCCGTTCTTCAATTTTAAGTTTTGTTTTAATCATAAACTGTTTCCACAAAAAAATTAATTGTATTTTTTTTTCTCTCGTTGAAACTATTTTTTGTTAATTGGCAATATTTGACTACACGATTTTTTCTACTTTTCATCAAACTCATCAATGGGCAATACGATCTCGATGTTTCAGAAAATTCCAAAATGAAGGAAAACGAAACTCGACAAGGACATAAGATTTCATGGTCAGAAAAAACCGACTTGCTAAATGCGATGAAAATTTTTGGTCCCGGTCAGCTCTTTTCAATCTTTTCAATAAAATTACGGATTCGAACGACCTGAGAGGATTGAAACAAAGAAATGATGGAGTTATGGTAAAAAGTATTACAATGAGCTAGTGACATGTACTTGGCGTGTATGGTGCATCTGCAAACACTGCAACCCTCAAAGAAAACTCATAGATTGCTGAAACCGAGTTACCGAGTTACACAAGTCCCAGGGATCTGTCCGTGAAGATCATAAAAAAACGGTAACCTAAAGAGTTAGCATTAACTAAACTGCAGCCTGGTTTTACCTAACACAGAGAAGAGAGCCCGCTTGCGGTCAATTGAGCAATCCCCCATTCTCGCGTGGGGGAAGATAGCTCAATAGGTACTTGAGATATCTTTATAATTTGAAAAAAATTTGAATGAGATGAAATCATAAACCAGATTCTCCAACAAATGTGGAAAACCAAAATTTACAATATCAAAGCGCAAAAATTAAATTCAGGAGTGAAAAAAATCAATAGGACGGAGGCACAAAAAACTTTTTCTGTCCTTAACGGTAAAAAAAAGCTATTGCGCAAATTATTAAAGTGCTGAGGAGAACAGTTTTTGGTATCCAGATTGAAGGCTAGAGCACCAATCCTGGTAAATTCTCGACGAGAGACAATGGTGGCCCATACAAAAAAATGTTTAAAGTAATGCATAAAAAATTTCGTTTTTTTCTGAATTTTTTTTGATACTCACTCATATAAAATGAACTATAGTCGGTCAATTGAATGCCTGCTTGGCTTTTTTTCCTTCCGCCCACATGCAAAGTTTTACTGAAGACATTTTGTTCACGTTGTTCGAATCTTACAAAAACTGGCATGCGAACTAATTAGGCCGTGACAAACATATTTGGTCAGCATGCTTAACCTTGTAAAATCCCTCGTTACACCATAAAACTGATGCTTTTGTGAGGTTGGGGGGAATGGGGAGAGTAAAAAGAGCCATCTACTTGCGTTAGCTGACTTCCGTTTTTAGCGTCTTACCAGTTTTGCTTGGGGTGGGGGGGGGGGTGAGATAGCTGAAATGATCATTGAGGGGGGATGGCTCAGTTGATCCCCTACTTGCTAAGAAATAATAGACAAATTTGATTGAATTGGATTGCGCGCAGCATGTCAAATATGCTTCCCCGCCAGTTCTTCATCGTCAAAAAAAATTAAAAAGCCGCCTATGTGATCATTTTAAAGAAAATTTTGATGAAAAATTACATAATTTTCAGCAAAAGTCAAAGAAAATTCATTTAAATTCGAAAACTCTTAGAAAATTAAAAGTCTTCACTGCAACTCAAGATGAAGTTCCTTGAGATAGCACTCTTGACATTCGCAGCTGCCGGTGTTCAAATAGCCACTTCGTTGAACGAAGATCGCGAGACGGAAAGTAGATCGATAGTGAATGGGTATGACTCTCCTACTCGACCTTTCTTCGTTAAGGTCCTCAGTTTGGGAGGAGTTTGCGGGGGCAGCATTATTGGAGCACGACATGTTTTGACTGCCGCCCACTGCTTGCAATCACGTAAGACAAAAATGGCCGTTAATTTTGAAACTTTTAGCCTTCATACCTAAGCTTGTAAAACTTCTCCTAACACCAAAAGGTTGATGTTCGTGTGAGGTGGGGGGAAAAGGAAAAAAAAGACAGATCGGACAACGTGAACAGATATTTTACAAGCGTTATTGAGGATATAATTCCTATGACAAAAAGGACGGACGTTTAAATGGTCGTGAAAAACTCAAAAGAACAATTAAAATTAGGTTTCCAGAATAATTGGCAACATTTTGTCCAATAGTTCGAATCTATTGAGTGTTATTCTGGATTATACATTCTCGGATCTAGGTTGAAACTGATTTATGATATTGGTATTTAGCTCATCCAATTGACTATTCATGAAAGATATCGTCGGTTGGAAAGATGGGTTAACTGGGTTAACGCGGAGTGGTTTGAAACCAGAAGCACTCGGTGACGGTTCGATTTTCTAAGCAGATTGAATTTCTTCGGTTATTTCGTTCACCCAGCTTACTGTCGTTTAACTTCCCGCAAGACTCTTCTCGGGCAAGTTTGTCGAATTTGACCTCTCTTTCATGTCTTCAAGAATGGTATTTTCAGTTAAGGTGGGTTCGGCCAATTTAACTCGATTTTCTTCGGCAACCTCTTCCAGTTCTAACAGATTTTTCTACTGTTTCAACTGAAGTTTAGTTTTATATCGTCGCTCTATTTCTCCATGTCGTAAAGTTGCAATTTTCAGCTCTCGACATCTTTGGCTAGAAGTTATTGACGCAGATAAGTTTTTTGAAGATGTGGTTTTGTGATGTGGTTTCGGAGTTTTGTGTTTTAAACTTTTCAAAGTGGCTAAGGGTCTGTTTGGTGTCAAGATTTTGTCAAGCTTTATTATGAACATCGTCGTTTTTGTGTGTTAAGAGCTCTAACCATTGTTCCAAGGCTGCTTTGTCGGATTGACGAGGGTTAAAAAGAGGATTTCTTCATTTTTGGAAACTGCTTTTTCCAAACGTTTCTTTTTTACAATTTTGAAGACATTTTTTAATTTTAACAAGGTCGTTCCTTTCAATAGCCTCAAGTATGCACTCATGGTTTATATCTAGCTCTTTTTTATGCTTCAATCTAGCTAGCGTGAGACGATTGATCTTATCGGTAAGATCGGACGCCATTGCAGTCGGAGGCGAGGGAACGGTTGCGGTAAGCAAAGACGGGTCCGTAGCCATCACTTAACGAGTGACTGCTCCGAGGGTCAGACAACACCTGTTAGCAAAACCTAACGTAAAAAATCAGCCCAGTGTAATCATTTCGAAAAAATTCTGGCTGAATGAAAGAATTGGTATGAGCAACTTTATCTGGCCTATTAAACTAACGCTTAAATTTAAAAGTTGCTAGAAATTCGATAAATTTAATTTGAAATAAAATAAATAATTTTCATTGACAAGGTAAGTTTAAAACTAAATTTGTTAAAAATTTATACAAAAACTTTGGAATAAAAGGGACAAATTGTTTTATGTTGACGGTCTGGGCGGCTAATTTAGTTTGCTTCCTTTTGAAAAGCGGTAAGAATATTGTCTGTCTTTTCTCGGTGACAAAAATGGTTGCAATTAATCGGTTTCTATAATTGTTGAAAAGTCGATTTAATTGCAAAGCGGACAAACATTGAGTTTTTTTGCTTTGATTCTTGTTTATAGAATTATTGATTAAGCCATGCCACAAAACCATATCATTCCGGGAAGCTAACTGTGGGTTATTGTGTAAAATTTATTCGACTGTTTTCTTTTGATTTTTTTTTAAAGAACGTTTATGGCTTTACAACTTTTTTGCAATCTATCTCTCAGCTTGCGGGGTTGGGCTTCTATTGCATAAAAAAGAAAGCTTGTTCCTAAGATGAAAACCATCATAGATGTGGGAACGCTACTTTAAATTATTTTAAGGTAAAATTTAGACGTCTGAAAATATATGGTCTTCATGTGAACTGTACTGTTACGTCTCTGTGTGCACGGTATTGCACACTCAATTAGGCCGGTTCGCTTAAGAGCAAAACCCGCGGTAAGAAATAAATCCAAACCAACACAACCAAACACGGTAAGGAACGGAAAATGACGTTGGGAGAGCGTTTTGGGGTTGATATGCAACGTTTCGCTATCGGACCGATTCAAAAAACCGGTACTAGTAAGTTCGAGTTGATTGAATTGTTATAAGTTTCAGATAATCCCCAAGAGGAAAACCTGAGGTAAGAAGTAGGCTTAAACAACTCACTCAACTAAACAAAAGTCGGGGCGGAGGCAACAATGTTTGGTTTTTACAACATAAAGATCCCCAATTTTGGTCTTTTACTATGTTTTGGGCAAAAAAATGAAACCTTTGGTCAACTTTTTTTGGGGTATTCAAACATTTTCTACTTCCATTTAAAAATTAGTTAGAAAAACCCTCTAGCATTTAATTCTATATCTTTGGAACTTTTGTATAATTTAGTTTTCAAGAATTAGGGTCGGTTTAGGTTCGGTTTGTACTCAAATTTCTTTGTACAAAAGCTTTGTACAAAAACTTACAGCTAGACAATGGATTTGTAGTTTAACTTTCGCACAACTTTTTCGACTTTTTCTTTTCTTAGAAATTTTTGTCTCCAATGTCAGTCGGCCTCTAGTAGTGGAGCAGATTGAGAGACTTTTAGTACAGTTGCAATGTTGTCTTGCTACTGGTTAAGACCTCCGTCGATGTTGAAGAAACTCAGTAAATTGAAATACTTCAGCAGACAGAATAAAGAAGCATTCGAATATGAAACTCCGAAAGGAACATATGTAACTACCGGCACGTTTTTGACAGTATGGGACAAAAAAGGAAGGAAAATTATATGATGCGTTCTTTTATCCCCTGAAATTTTTGTTTTCCTTTTACTTACCGCGCACTTAGCCCTTTTTGTGATAAAATAGGGTACTAAAATAGCTTTTTTTTCTGGATTTCCCCGAGTCATGGCACCAAAATATTCCTATGACAATAAACATGGTCGTTTAAATGGCCGGGAAAAACTCAAAATAACACTTAGGTTCCAGAGTTTTTTTGAATAATTGGCAACACTTTTCCCATTATTTGAACAATTCTCTTTATTCATAAGTTTTCACAATACGTTAGCAACTGCGGAATATGGGCATTTGAACAACTCATCAACCTGGTCATTTTAGTGAACAATTCATATATCAAAACTTATAGCAATAAGTTGAGGCTGAACAGAAAGACATTTCATCAACTACGGCCAGGCCAACAAACAAATTTAAGCAAAACCGAAACAAGAATTATTTTAGTTCAAGTTTTAGCTCCATAGGTTAAAGGGTTTTCTTAGTTTTTAGTAACAATTTTGCAAAAAACTGAACTAAAGTGTTCTATATTAAATGACTTCATAATAAAACAGACGCATAGTTAGCCGCGCTGACAGATATATTTTTCGTTTTCAGCGTTGGGCAAACGAATGATTGTCATCCAAATTGGCGACTTCTCAAAGCCATCCAAATTTGTATACAGTATCGGGGAGGCGATAGTTCACGAGGCATACGACAAGGTTACCAAGATCAATGACATAGCATTGATCAAGACCTACGCACCCATTCCTCAGAGCCCTCATCATTATGGGATAATCAATCTATGTACAGAGAGTAGCAGGTTCAAACACTACCCCATAGCCGTTTCCGGCATGGGATTGGTCAATGTAACTGAAAAAAAATACGCAAAAAATTTGCAGGAAGTAGTTCTGCAGGAGGTGGGGACTGCCAAATGTCGAAGGAAGAGTGACTGGTTTCCCTCACAGCAAATATGCTTGATGGGCGATGAGAAAGGTACGCTTTGAAACTCCCGGGCTCAGCGGTTGATTGGTTTATCAATAATTTTTCAATGGTCATAATTTTTTGTTTACTTTTAGCACTTTCAAAATTAAAGGAATATCATTTTTCCACTTCTCACAAATTTGATAAATTTTTTCTGTGCTACTTTTACATGCTAAAATGGCTGAAAGCGTAATTGTTGTTCGTAAAATATAAAAAAATGGCCTCAAATAGCGAAAAACAAAAATGGAAAATTTAAACTGAACTTAATCGTTGAATGAAACTTTTTTTTTCAGTATGATTGAGTGATTGAAGGGCTATGTCTATGTGCAAGTTGTTGTAGATTGTTTTTTTTTCTTCATGTCAGACAGTTGTTCTGGTGATTCTGGGGGTCCTGCGTATCCCCTGATGCACGGCAGACCATACTGTCTGTATGGAGTGGTGAGCTATGGCAGTTCTTTGTGCAATGGATACGGAATATACACGCGAGTGTCTGCATATGCCGAATGGATCAGAAGAGCTATGCTTATCTGATTTTCAGAGGATTTGCAATAACTAAGGAACCCAGGATTTGCAATATAGATGATGGAGTGACTTTTTTTGCAATAACTAAGGAACCCAGAATTTGCAATAAAAATGATGAACTGACTTTTTTTTGCAATAACTAAGGAACCCAGAATTTGCAATATAGATGATGAACTGTCTTTTTTTCTGCAATAACAAAGGAACCCAGGGTTTGCAATATAGATGATGAACTGACTTTTTGCAATAACTAAGGAACCCAGAATTTGCAATATAGATAATGAACTGACTTTTTTTGCAATAACTAAGGAACCCAGGACTTGCAATATAGATGATGAACTGATTTTTTTTTGCAATAACTAAGGAACCCAGGATTTGCAATAAAGATGATTAACTGACTTTGTTTGCAATAACTAAGGAACCCAGGATTTGCAATGTAGATGATGAACTGATTTTTTTGCAATAACTAAGGAACCCAGGATTTGCAATAAAAATGATGAACTGACTTTTTTTTTGCAATAACTAAGGAACCCAGAATTTGCAATATAGATGATGAACTGACTTTTTTTTGCAATAACTAAGGAACCCAGGATTTTCAATAAAGATGATGAACTGACTTTTTTTGCAATAACTAAGGAACCCAGGGTTTGCAATATAGATGATGAACTTACTTTTTTGCAATAAATAAGGAACCCAAGATTTGCAATATAAATGATGAACTGACTATTTTGCAATAACTAAGGAACCCAGGATTTAAAATATAGATGATGAACTGACTTTTTTTGCAATAACTAAGGAACCCAGAATTTGCAATAAAAATGATGAACTGACTTTTTTTGCAATAACTAAGGAACCCAGAATTTGCAATATAGATGATGAACTGTCTTTTTTTCTGCAATAACAAAGGAACCCAGGGTTTGCAATATAGATGATGAACTGACTTTTTGCAATAACTAAGGAACCCAGAATTTGCAATATAGATGATCAACTGACTTTTTTTGCAATAACTAAGGAACCCAGGACTTGCAATATAGATGATGAACTGATTTTTTTTGCAATAACTAAGGAACCCAGGATTTGCAATAAAGATGATTAACTGACTTTGTTTGCAATAACTAAGGAACCCAGGATTTGCAATGTAGATGATGAACTGATTTTTTTGCAATAACTAAGGAACCCAGGATTTGCAATAAAAATGATGAACTGACTTTTTTTTTGCAATAACTAAGGAACCCAGAATTTGCAATATAGATGATGAACTGACTTTTTTTTGCGATAACTAAGGAACCCAGGATTTGCAATAAAGATGATGAACTGACTTTTTTTGCAATAACTAAGGAACCCAGGACTTGCAATATAGATGATGAACTGATTTTTTTTGCAATAACTAAGGAACCCAGGATTTGCAATAAAGATGATTAACTGACTTTGTTTGCAATAACTAAGGAACCCAGGATTTGCAATGTAGATGATGAACTGATTTTTTTGCAATAACTAAGGAACCCAGGATTTGCAATAAAAATGATGAACTGACTTTTTTTTTGCAATAACTAAGGAACCCAGAATTTGCAATATAGATGATGAACTGACTTTTTTTTGCAATAACTAAGGAACCCAGGATTTGCAATAAAGATGATCAACTGACTTTTTTTGCAATAACTAAGGAACCCAGGATTTGCAATAAAGATGATGAACTGACTTTTTTTGCAATAACTAAGGAACCCAGGACTTGCAATATAGATGATGAACTGATTTTTTTTGCAATAACTAAGGAACCCAGGATTTGCAATAAAGATGATTAACTGACTTTGTTTGCAATAACTAAGGAACCCAGGGTTTGCAATATAGATGATGAACTTACTTTTTTGCAATAAATAAGGAACCCAAGATTTGCAATATAAATGATGAACTGACTATTTTGCAATAACTAAGGAACCCAGGATTTGCAATATAGATGATGAAGTGACTTTTTTTGCAATAACTAAGGAACCCAGAAATTGCAATAAATATGATGAACTGACTTTTTTTTGCAATAACTAAGGAACCCAGAATTTGCAATATAGATGATGAACTGTCTTTTTTTCTGCAATAACAAAGGAACCCAGGGTTTGCAATATAGATGATGAACTGATTTTTTTTGCAATAACTAAGGAACCCAGGATTTGCAATAAAGATGATTAACTGACTTTGTTTGCAATAACTAAGGAACCCAGGGTTTGCAATATAGATGATGAACTTACTTTTTTGCAATAAATAAGGAACCCAAGATTTGCAATATAAATGATGAACTGACTATTTTGCAATAACTAAGGAACCCAGGATTTGCAATGTAGATGATGAACTGATTTTTTTGCAATAACTAAGGAACCCAGGATTTGCAATAAAAATGATGAACTGACTTTTTTTTTGCAATAACTAAGGAACCCAGAATTTGCAATATAGATGATGAACTGACTTTTTTTTGCAATAACTAAGGAACCCAGGATTTGCAATAAAGATGATGAACTGACTTTTTTTGCAATAACTAAGGAACCCAGGACTTGCAATATAGATGATGAACTGATTTTTTTTGCAATAACTAAGGAACCCAGGATTTGCAATAAAGATGATTAACTGACTTTGTTTGCAATAACTAAGGAACCCAGGATTTGCAATGTAGATGATGAACTGATTTTTTTGCAATAACTAAGGAACCCAGGATTTGCAATAAAAATGATGAACTGACTTTTTTTTTGCAATAACTAAGGAACCCAGAATTTGCAATATAGATGATGAACTGACTTTTTTTTTGCAATAACTAAGGAACCCAGGATTTGCAATAAAGATGATGAACTGACTTTTTTTGCAATAACTAAGGAACCCAGGATTTGCAATAAAGATGATGAACTGACTTTTTTTGCAATAACTAGGGAACCCAGGACTTGCAATATAGATGATGAACTGATTTTTTTTGCAATAACTAAGGAACCCAGGATTTGCAATAAAGATGATTAACTGACTTTGTTTGCAATAACTAAGGAACCCAGGATTTGCAATGTAGATGATGAACTGATTTTTTTGCAATACTAAGGAACCCAGGATTTGCAATAAAAATGATGAACTGACTTTTTTTTGCAATAACTAAGGAACCCAGAATTTGCAATATAGATGATGAACTGACTTTTTTTTTTACAATAACTAAGGAACCCAGGATTTGCAATAAAGATGATGAACTGACTTTTTTTGCAATAACTAAGGAACCCAGGACTTGCAATATAGATGATGAACTGACTTTTTTTTGCAATAAATAAGGTACCCAGGATTTGCAATATAGATGATGAACTGATTTTTTTGCAATAACTAAGGAACCCAGGATTTGCAATAAAAATGATGAACTGACTTTTTTTTGCAATAACTAAGGAACCCAGAATTTGCAATATAGATGATGAACTGTCTTTTTTTCTGCAATAACTAAGGAACCCAGATTTTGCAATATAGATGATGAACTGACTTTTTGTTGCAATAAATAAGGAACGCAGGGTTTGCAATATAGATGATGAACTGACTTTTTTGCGATAACTAAGGAACCCAGAATTTGCAATATAGATGATGAACTGACTTTTTTTTTGCAATAACTAAGGAACCCAGAATTTGCAATATAGATGACGAACTGACTTTTTTTTGCAATAACTAAGGACTCCAGGGTTTGCAATATAGATGATGAACTGACTTTTTTGCAATAACTAAGGAACCCAGAATTTGCAATATAGATGATGAACTGACTTTTTTTGCAATAACTAAGGAACCCAGGATTTGCAATATAGATGATGAGCTGACTTTTTTTGCAATAAATAAGGAACCCAGGATTTGCAATAAAGATGATTAACTGACTTTTTTTGCAATGACTAAGGAACCCAGGATTTGCAATATAGATGATGAGCTGATTTTTTTGCAACAACTAAAGAACCCAGGATTTGCAATATAGATGATGAACTGTCTTTTTTTTACAATAACTGAGGAACCCAGGATTTGCAATATAGATGATGAACTGACTTTTTTTGCAATAAATAAGGAACCAAGTATTTGCAATAAAGATGATTAACTGACTTTTTTTGCAATAACTAAGGAACCCAGGATTTGCAATATAGATGATGAACTGACTTTTTTTGCAATAACTAAGGAACCCAGTGTTTGCAATAGAGATGATGAACTGACTTTTCTTTGCAATAACTAAGGAACCCAGGGTTTGCAATATAGATGATGAACTGACTTTTTTTTGCAATAACTAAGGAACCCAGGATTTGCAATATAGATGATGAACTGACTTTTTTTGCAATAACTAAGGAACCCAGGATTTGCAATATAGATGATGAACTGACTTTTTTTTGCAATAAATAAGGTACCCAGGATTTGCAATAAAGATGATTAACTGACTTCTTTGCAATAACTAAGGAAACCAGGATTTGCAATATAGATGATGAACTGACTTTTTTTGCAATAACTAAGGAACCCAGGATTTGCAACATAGATGATGAACTGACTTTTCTTTGCAATAACTAAGGAACCCAGGGTTTGCAATATAGATGATGAACTTACTTTTTTGCAATAAATAAGGAACCCAAGATTTGCAATATAAATGATGAACTGACTATTTTGCAATAACTAAGGAACCCAAGATTTGCAATAAAGATGATTAACTGACTTTTTTTGCAATAACTAAGGAACCCAGGATTTGCAATATAGATGATGAACTGACTTTTCTTTGCAATAACTAAGGAACGCAGGGTTTGCAATATAGATGATGAACTGACTTTTTTGCGATAACTAAGGAACCCAGAATTTGCAATATAGATGATGAACTGACTTTTTTTTTGCAATAACTAAGGAACCCAGGATTTGCAATATAGATGATGAACTGACTTTATTTTTGCAATAAATAAGGTACCCAGGATTTGCAATAAAGATGATTAACTGACTTTTTTTGCAATAACTAAGGAACCCAGGATTTGCAATATAGATGATGAACTGTCTTT